AATGTGGAAGGAGGGGGAGCTCATCGGTGCACACACTTCATCCTTCTTCAGCAGGTGCACTTTTTGCTGATGCTATAACATGCAGACATCAGACTCCAGATTCTTTGGCCCTTGAACACAGTCTTGCACCAGCAACTCCCTGGGAGGCTTTCAGGTCCTTGGCCTCAGGCTTTCAGGCTTCCAGGGGCCTCAGATTCCTACACACACAATAAGGCTTCTTGAATTGAGACGCTACTGATTTTCATGGCTCTACAGCCTGCAGACAGCCACTATGGGAACATCCAGCCTCTGCTCCAGTAAGCCAATCTAATAAATTGGCTCATGATTTTATATATTCTATTGGTTCTATTTCTTTGGAGAACTCAGACTAATGTACAGCATGAGGAACACTTAGGTTGGGATAGAGGTGTTAAATTTCAAAGGAGTGTGGAAGATAGGTGCCCTAAGGCATGTTTTAGGAGTGAGAAATAAATGTCTTGTTTAACACAAGAATGGGGGTTATTATTGCCACACAACATAGCCTAACCTGTCTAATACAGAAGGCCTCTTTGAGGTTGTAACATTTAAAATGAAGCTTAAAGAATGAAACAGAACTACCAGAGAGAATATTCCAGGCCATTGAAGCTTTATATTTAAGGAATTTGAGGCAAGAAAGGATGTATTGTATAAGTGCTGATATCATAGAAATAGAAAGCAGAACCATGATTAGCAAAGGCATTGATGGTTAGAAGGGATGGGGAACAGAGAGAAGTTGGTCAAAGGATGTGTAATTACAGTTGGATAGAAGGAATTTTTTCTAAAGTGTCCATAATAGACAATATGGAGAGAAATAAGGTAGGTGAGTCCTTGTTGAGGGCCTGGGGAGAATAGGATGGGTGGGGGAGGGAGAGCAATGGGAATGGCTAGTGTGCCATTCAATCTTTATTTTCATTTTAAAAAGAATAAAAACTAACAAAATAACAACACAGACAAAAACAATAAAAATGATACAGTGTTTCAAAATAAAATGATTGGAATTAACAGTGGCTGTTATATTACCTATTGTTATCTTCAACAAAGTTGCTCACATTACTAGATGTAAGAATGCAAGATTGATCAAACCATTAAAGAGAATAAAAAATAATTTTTAAAAAGCCATTAGAAAGGATACAGAGCTTCACTAAACAAGATGGTAGGAATTCACCAGTGGTTGTTATATTGCATATTGTTGTCTTCAGATTAGTTGCTCAGATTACCAGATATGATAAAGCATGCCAAATCAGTCAAAAAAATGTAAGCATTAACTGTTCCTTTCAATAAGTCAATAGACACGAGCAGTACAATTATCCCAGCTATCCTTCTATATCTTAAAGACATAGGGGTAGGCAGAGAGTTCATGAACAAAAACTAAACCACACAAGAAATACTTCAAAAAAATCAATAACTGGGATCTCATCTTATTGAAAAGTTTTTGCACATCAAAAGAAATCACCAACAGAATAAAAAGAAAACCCACAAATTGGGAAAAAAATTTAGCCAACTGTCCCTCAGACAAAGGACTCCTGTCTAGAACATATAAAGAATTTAAAAAGGGGCTGGGGATTTAGCTCAGCAGCACAATGCCTGCCTGGCAAGTGCAAGGTCATTAGTTTGATTCCTGGTACCAGAAAAAAAAAAAAAAAGAATTTAAAAAATCAGGCCCCCCAAATTCAAAGACCCAATCCAAAAATGGGCATCTGAGATAAATACATGCCATTTAATCTTAGTTGTCAGCTTGACTGGATTAAGAGACTCCTGGAGAGGTGGTTGCATGGATCAAGGGGCGCTATACTCATCAGTGGATTAATCCCCTGATGTTCATAGCTCAATTTGTTATGAAGAGGTAGGGCCTAGTTGGGTGTAGATCCCTGGGGGTGCACTTTTGGGAAGTACATATCTGCATGCTCTTCCCTTATGCTCTGCTTCTTGCTTCCTGGCTGCCATGAAATAAGCAGCTTTGCTTCACTAGGCCCTTCCAACAAAGTGTTCCCATGGTGGAGCCAGCTGATTATGGACCGGATCCTCTGAAACCTTGAGCCAAGTTAAATCTGTCTCCTTTAAATTGTGAGTGATGGGAAAGCTGACAAATACAACTGGTAATTGTTATGAAATTTCTTTTATACATGGTAAAAATGTTTTAAAATTGTGATGTTGCATGTGGTGATGGTTTCATACATTCAATTTTTAGAACATACTAAAATATTACACAGTACACTTTAAATGGGTGAATCTTATTATACATGAATTATATCTCAACATAGCTGTTTTTAAAAAATATTAAGATGGTCCTGGGGATTTAGCTCAGCAGCACAGCACCTGCCTTGCAAGCACAACGTCGTGAGTTCAATTCCTGGTACCGGAACCCCCCCCCCCAAAATTATTATGATAACATGTTACAGATTTTCAAATACACAACATGAACAATATATTCACAATTTTTAATCTGTGGGAAGATACTCTCTTTAAAATTAGGAGTACCATAGGAATTATATTCCCAGGAGGATCATACCATAATGGAGTCCTCATGAGCGCTAATGAGAAAAATATTTTGGAAGTAGCTCACTGGAAGACATTTGCAGTGAACATTCAGATTCAGAGAAACTTTTTTTCAACAGTTTTTTCTTGCTTTTATTTCTGAGAAATGGTTTGTGATTTCTGAAAGCCATTCCTGACATTCATAATGATAGTGTGGAGAAAAGAAGTACTATAAAGAAAATTAAACACATTTCATAACCACTGGTTTTCCAGTGTGCTTAACATGAGAGTCACCCACTTGTTTCTTCAAAGCTGAAGCAAGTTGTATCAGTTAGTGCTCACTACAGAAACAGATTTAACATAAAATATATATATAAAGGTCGACAAGGCAGTCTTACATTGGCTATCTGCAATCATGTGTGGAAGCGTGCAAAAGGCTTTTCTGCATGCTTCAGATTCAAAGGATGCAGTCAAAGGTTGAAGGCCTGGAGCTCACTTGTAGCGTCCCATTCAAGTCCACATCAGGAGGTTCCATCTGCGCTGGAAGCCAGGAAACCATTTCCAAGGTGGAGGTGAAGACTGGAACAAATTTCAGTATTTCTACAACTATTGTGCAGATGGCTTTATCCAAATCTTCCTTGAAACTGAACCCTAATGAAAATTTAGCTGCCCCCCACAGGGGCACATCTCTTGAAGTGGCTTGCATTTTCCTGGTTACCCTCTACAGTGTCCAAACCAGGGCTGAAGTTGATGTGGTGGTCTGGTTCCTTCAGGTATCATGGAAGTAACTAGAGTCCATGTTAGAGCAATGGTGCCTTGGAAAACTGGAGGTGGAGAAAAAGTGATCCCAAACAGCTGCGATATGAATATTTCTGTTTTAACTAGTGTTCTCTGAACCACTATGCACTGCACTCTGTACTGACCAACTTGACGGTCACCGCGTAACAACTCTGACTGCACTGATGCGTAAATGAGCACAATGTATCTTCTGCTCTCTTGTAGGAGAGCAGGCAGAGGAGAGTGAATCTGGCAGCTGGTTCTGTCCAGGTGCGCGGAAGGACAGGGGCCGAGTATGAGGAAAGTACTTGGAACTTGACTTGGTTCTGGGCTTTACTGTGATTTGTCTTATGAAAGAAAAACTAAAAACCTGTCTTTGAATGTTTTCCGTAAACGAACAGTAAGTTTGCCATTGAGAGTGGGCTGAGAAACTAGGATTGTTGCGACATAAGAACAGCTAGTGTTCCCCCACCCCCACCCCCGCTTCCTCAGTGACCGCTCTAGGTCAGCAAAGGCTCTGGCTCGCAGTCAAACAAAGCAAGACGGAGCGCAAACTGAGGAAGGGAAACCCGGCCTTCGTCTTAGGAAGCGCGAGGGCCGGGCGTCAGGCACACCGGGCTGCGGGCAGTTTCCGTCAGCCTCTGCCCGGAGCACATCCGGGTGACCTGAGAAAGTGAAACCCTCAGACCTGAGCAGCCCTCTTTGAAAGCTGCTCAGAGCGCACAACCCCAGACGCCAAGCTACCCGATCCTTCCGTGGGCGGCGGGCAGGGCGAAGAAGAGCCTGCCCGGCTCCCCGACGAGGCGGCCGCGGACTTGCACCTCAGGCACCGCGGCGCTCTGGGACGCAGGCTGCTGATCCTGCTGGCGGCGGGGTGAGGAGACCTTCTCGGCTGTCGTCCAGGGCCAGGCAGCGCAGCCCGGAACCGGCGCCGCGGCCTCCTCTTCCTGCTGGGCTGGGCGCTGAGCGCGCTGCGGGGCGCCCTGGTGTG